ATAATCAATGATTTTCAGCTCGTGATGAAAACTCTTTTGGCTACAAAAATCATATCAGCTAGTGTCGCTCAACAGAAAAATCACTTTCCGATGGCGTTGATTGAGTGCAAACTTTTTGATAACATTGACCACAAATTCTGGGACATATTTGACACATCTACTAGAATATTTCATTAAAAACAATCACGGACTTTGATATTACCTGTGCACGTATGAATTTAGTAATGTTAACTTCGCTAATGGCGTAAAAAATATCTCCAGTCTCTAGTTAGAAAAAGTAAATGTATATGAAGATTGTACATCGCATAAACACCTCCAACTCACAAAATCCACTCTCAGTATAAGTCTAATCTATCTTGAGGGTATTGCCAAATTTACATATTTTGCAGGAATTTCAAAAAAATGAGCCTGTCACAAAATCGGTTTTTCACTTACATCTGCTGCCTATAAACTACCTCCCTGCCAAATTACTTCCAATCGGAAAACAAAGGACTTCCGTACATACTTGTAAATGCCTCTATCCCCCTTCAATCCTGCCCTGTCGCAAAATCCGTTCTTAGCTGACATGTCCTGCCCAAATATCTGTCCTTTGGCCTCCTTAATCCAGTGCTGTCACGAAATCCGTTCTGAGCTGACATGTTTCGTACGTAAAGTACCTCTCTGCTAAATGTTCATGTGTCGAATAGTTTTAGTATAGTAATTATTATAACCTTATCCTGAAAAATTCAGTATTTCGGTTCCCCATAAAAATATTCAACTCCTTTATACCCCATGTTAAAGATATACTTTTTTGTAATTCTCGATCAATATTTTTTTAATTTTTGACAAAACTTGTAGACTGGACTAATTTGTAATATTCTAGATTCTTCAGACTTAAGAGTTTTAACTCCCAATTAACCCTTTAGGGGTGGAATTTCAAGATTTTTTTTAAATGTCTGTTTACAAAAAACCAAATATACAGTACCCATATCTGTACCTATACCTTAAAGAATAATAGTTTCCCCATAGTAACTTCTGCCCCCTAATTCAACCCGTTCAAGTTTTCTTCTCACAACAAAAGGTAGCCTGTTGTCCGTCTCTGGTAATATACAGGATGATTCACAAGTCTTTACGTAAAATGAACTTGCACCAGTGGCGGAGATACAGCGGATTAAATTCATTATTTTTCAAGACTTCGGCAATATGGAATTGCCAAAGTTCCCGGAATTAGAGGCCATGGTGTCCGGCATACTGTTCAAGAAGGACTGGAAGTGATTAATTTGGCGTTGGATGATCCTAGTACAAGTACTAGGCGGATTGCAGCCCAGTTACCATGTTCCCAAAATCTTGCGTGGAGAATTTCAGATCAGGAAGTTTTACATCCTTACCATAGGCAAAATGTGCAATGTCTGCAACCCTGTGACGAAGTGCAACGGGAAATTTTTATGAGCGGTTACTGCAAATGCATAATCAAAATGCAGATTATATTGATTTGATTTTGTGGTCAGATAAATTCCTTTTTACGAGGAGTGGAACCTTTAATTCTCATAATAAACATGGTCGTTAAAAATCCCCATTCTGTATGAATCCTCGCGTTTCAACACAGATTTTCCAGAAATGTCTGGTGCGGCATTTTCAACGGCCAACTGTTTATGCACGTAATGGTACAACATTTATATGCAAACTCATACTTAGCTTTTCTAGAGAATTACATAGAAAATGTGTTAGATGATGTTCCGTTAGCAACGAGAGTACGAATGTCATATCAGCACGACGGTGCCTCACCGCATGTTCGTTGTGACATAACCGGATGGTTAAATAAATCATTTTAGACAACGATGGATTGGCAGAAACGGACCCGTACATTGGCCTGCGAGGTATCCTGATTTGAACCCCCTGGATTTCTTTCTGTGGGACGCTAAACAACTAGTGTATGCTGAAAAAATTAATACTGTTGATCAATTACAAGAAAGAATTGATAATGCGTTACATCAAATTCAAGCACAAGTTTTGCGAGAATAGGTTTTTCTCTATTAAAAGGATGCCGCACTTGTATCCGTCAGAATGGTGATCTTTTGAACGTTTATTGAAATTTGATTATCTAATTTTTTTTACGAAATCAATGCACTCTAAGAAAAAACACAAGAGTAATTATTAGTATGAAATTGAAGGTTATATTCCAAAAATTGCGCGTAAAATTTTTATTTGGAAAAATAATGCCACTACTCCCTTGTATCTCCGCCACTGAAGCATTGAAGTAAACACTTTTGAATGTGGACAATAATTAGGTAAATCCACATACCAAATCTTAGTTCATTCCAGTTGACGGTATTGAAGATATTAAAAAATTATGTTTATTTTTAAACGTCAACGTATCTTTTGAATGAAGCCTTCGTGGAAAAAATATTACACAGAAGACTCCCCTCAAAATGCGGACCTGTGTATGAGGTTTCATTTTTGCTCACTACTTGTGAATCACACTGTATAACTATGCTAAGATTCATTGAAATTGACTTAGCTGTTCTGGCGTAAAAATGGGAAACACATACATTCAATTCCATTAGGTCTGAGTGGTAGCCCCTGAAATAGATACTTCATTGTTATTTTCAGGGATAACAGGTAACTTGTGCAGACTATGTACTAATCTGTACCAAATTGCATCCAGATCCGTTCAGACATATTGGCGTGACTGAATAACAAACTCATTCACACTTTCTTATTTATGACAATATTTAATAAGTGCTTATTTCAAAATACCTTGCCGTCTTTACATTTGGCGTCGTTTACCCCACGCAACCCAAAAAACAGAAAATAAAAAAAGTAATTGACATCGAAGAACAACCTCCATTTATTGTTTTTGCCTCCTCAAGTAAAAGATTCTTAGGTACTTTATGTAGCTTTTGACAGTAACGAGTTTTTCTAGTACGTTTCGATAAAAGTACAAATAGTTGAGTGCTTCAGTGAAAGCATAAATGTCGTGTGCAATATTTTCCCGTATAAAAAATACAGCAATCCAATACTAAAATGGTATAGCTGTGTGGGTAATCCATGCATGACGTCCATACGTAAGAAATACGCCATTTTCCAACTTGGGTAGAGAGTGTGTGTGAGGGGTTTCTGATTTTTAAAGTTGTTCAAGAAAAATGGAGGAAATTTATAATCCATACATAGCACCCACCTCAAACCTTTTACGGTAAGTGCAAATAGATATGCCTGTTGAAGTGGTGCCACTGAACCTCTCGCGTTTATGTGGCTAAGGTACTCATAGCATGACTCATCACATATGCATATGTTGCATGCCCAGTATGAAATACGGCTCATATAAGTCTTTATTGGAATTACGGACACTTATTTATGTGTACCAAACGATTTACAGTAGTTCAATTGGTCAAACCGTTCGTGATGTCATTAGACTTTGAATTAATGGGATGTTGAGCATTTAAGCATTCACATAAAGGTCTATCTAAAATCAGAAATCTCAACCGACTATGAAAAAATGAAAGAATAATATTTTTTCAAATTTCTGATGTTGTTGGAAATATTGAACGATGACATTTAAGAATGGAGCACAATATCATTGAAATGACAGTATCCTAGCCGATTAATCCAGTTTGAAATGAAAGACTAATATTTTTTCAAATTTCTGATGTTGTTGGAAATATTGAACGATGATATTTAAGAATGGAGCACAATATCATTGAAATGACAGTATCCTAGCCGATTAATCCAGTTTGAAATGAAAGAATAATATTTTTTCAAATTTCTGATGTTGGAAATATTGAACGATGATATTTAAGAATGGAGCACAATATCATTGAAATGACAGTATCCTAGCCGATTAATCCAGTTTTTAAGTACATTTTCGATTGTCTGTGCTTGAATCTATTGAACGGCAACTTCGATTTCCTATTTCAATGCCGCAATTGTCTAGCTTCCTACAAAAACTAGTCCAACGGGTTCGAATTGCAGTCTAGAGGTAGGTAATTAGGTTGGGTGTCTTGTCTAAGATTGTAAATAGACATAGATGTCAATTGCTGATCTGCTGTTCACGTCAATAGGGGCTAAAAGGTGAAGAAGCTGTGAAAATACAGACAACTGAAACGAATGAAGATTTAATAGTGCTATCAAGAGAAGTCTAGAGACACCTCATATATCAAAAATCCATCAAGCCGCCTAAGGTGTATCCTGTGAATTAATAATTTCAAGGTTGAATTTTTTTATCGAAACCCGCCTTTTTGTTTTTATACGATCTTAATGTACCCGGACTGTTATGACAAACTCAACAGCACCTCATATCTCAAAATACATCAGCCACTTCAGCTGTAGCATATGTCAGGAATTTCAGGGTTGCCTTTTTTTAATAAAATCCGCCATTTTTTATAAAATTTTAATATAGCCAGTCTCACAATGCTAAAACGAATTCAAGAACAGCCCATATGTCAGAAATCATTAACCCCTTTAGGTTATAGCCTGTGACATAATAATTTCGAGTATGGATATTTTCATTTAAATCTGCTATTTTGTTATTATAAAACTTTAATATAGCTAGTGTCACTAACACCAGTACAAATCCAACAACACCTTATACTCAAACACTCTCTCCCTACTAGATTTAGAATTTTTCGTCCACGCGCATACAGTCAGTCTGTCTATTGCTGATCAGCTGTTCATTTTATTACACGCTCGCCATTGACCGAAACTGCATCTCCTTACTCATTTTCAAGCGCCCAATGATGCTGCCTGATTAAAATCTGTACCAAACAGGTACTCGCTGTGGATGCATTGGCTTCTCTTCCACGACGTGTAGATTGTCTGATCCCCAAATGCGATAGTTTTTTTATATAGCATCCGAGGTGAGGATGAGCTTTATTTGAAATGATAGTTGTTCAGTAAAATCCTCATCTCCGATTTTCAGGTCACTGGCACTGGGTGAAGCGATAACCCGTCTTGGACTCATTGAAGTTTCCATAACGAAGTCCTCATGCAAAATTCTTTTAAAAGAATGCGAGAAAACTGAACTGATGACCTCTCCCGTACAACAAATTTTCTACTCTTATAGTTTTGATTAAACGCTCGCCACATTCGAAGTAAGCTTTCAATATTACCCAATATGGTTCAAGCTGTTTGAAGATGTCATATATATAGTGTTCATAGTTAATTGCCTTAACTGTTAGGAGAAGATATCCTTTAATTTCTTTGGGTAGAATGCAAAGTATTGGATAATGTGGAGGTTATCAGTGGAAAAAAAGATGAAATCTCGAGGGAATTTTCAATCGTTGATAGTTTGAAAATCCCCAAATTTCTTCCAAAATCAATCAACACTTAGTTTAAAAAAACCTTTTAAAATGATTTGCCATTTAATAATAAAATAATTCCGTCCTAATCGAACCTGATCAGCCCAGTTTTTGATTCGTCGACTCTGTGTTCCCTTCACTGTTGTTTTAAAAACAATTTCAGCAACAATCTCGCCGACTTACTCCAGACGATGAAGACATAGATCTTCGAAAGCTTGAGAATTTAAGTTATAAGAGTGTACTTTTGCAATACTTTGTCTTCTACCCAAAGAAATTAAAGGATATATATATATATATATATAACTAATATTCTGATAAAATGACTAATTCAAATTCCAAATACAGGGTATTACACCCTGAATATCCTGTATTTTGTACATTTCTCAAGCATGGTTTTTAACTAAATGATATTTTATCTTTCACTTATCTTCACAGAAAAATGTTTCAACAGTTAATCTTACATAGAGGTGCTTTCAATTTTGGTACTCTTCTTGTGAAATTTAACAACGTGTGAAAATGATCGGGATTTTTAGGTATTGAAAAATTTGCAATATCCAATGTGACCGAACTTCCAGTGAATCGTTAGATGTAAAGATACGACGTGTGACAGTATTCAACCCGTTGTCTGTGTAAAACAAGTTGTTTATAAATCATATTTGAGTCGATTGGAGATGGCATACTCCTATAGTAATAACAAATTTATCGGTATGATAGTGGTTCACGGTGAGTATCTCCAAAATGCTGCTGCGTTTCGCGAGTACATTCCGATTGTTTTCTTCGTGACAGAACGATCTTTCCTAATATATTTGAAGTGGGTACCTTCAGCAACATTTTTACTGTTTTGCACCGCACATTGGTTCTAATATTCCAGGCGAAGTTATTACTGAAAAGGAACATTCCAATTTTTGAGCACCCTGTACAGCACACGACAGTTTGGAATACCTATCTCAATACAAAACGCAATAGTAACAGAGTCATTATTCTTTGGATCAAAAATATTTTTCACAATTTTTTTCTACAAATACGTACTAGACCAGTTTGAAGGCAGATTGTTTTAAAACCACTGGACTATTACTATGGAGCACTTGAAATATCAATTCTTCGAGTATTTTTTTGTTACTAACCCTTTTTAGCTGGCCAGAACATGATGGTCGATATTTTCAAGTCAGTTGTATACTAGATACAAATCCATCAGTAGTGACTTCAGCTATAAGGCCCTTAAATGTTCTGTGTGACGTTACCTATAAAAACCAACATGCGGTCTCAAACGAACCTAAAACTCGTTGAAACAAAACAGTATTATTGCCCTTACTTGAACGGCTATAACGGTCTTCATTGGTTGTATTATCCTAAATTCATGAGAATTTTTTAATAACATCAGTGTTTTGGCCCCAATGTCCTTCTTACTTTTCTTTACTTTACTTTTCTACTGTCCATTGACTCTTATGTAATTATATATAGTTAATGCACATGCTTGTAGTTTGTTGATGCAAAATTATGGGCTTCTTAAGACATTATCATATCAGCGGCCCTGCAAAGGATAATTAATTCAACGTTTGTATCACGACTATGTAAAAAAGGGCGATAGCGCTGAAATTCCTGCATAAAAGTAATTGCTAAAAAGTCCTTGGAGATATTCATTTCTACATCGGGACACGGCGGCACCTGACTGAGTTGACCTTAAACGTCTCTGTAACTGTTGGAGAACAAGATCGATCTCCACAGAACACGAACCTGCAACGCGTGCATCGCATCGGGGTATTGACAGATGGTGATGAATGGATGCTAGGGTCCGACATTACATCATCTCCTTTGAACTGGGAACGACTAAGAGAATTGTAACCTATTAGATACAATTACATAGAGTCCTATTTTTGACGAGAAATATTTGCGCTTACTATTAATCTGCGCAAAGCTTTTTTGCAAAAACGTATGTATGTACGTCGTATACACGTCGCATATAAACTTCGTCTATTTCTTAATGGTATCTCCTATAACTTGAACTATTCACGTATTTTTCTACCTATAACAGTAACAGACTTCTCCGGCAAATATCAAAACAAATATCGGTTCAATAGCTTTAATGATAACGTATAACAAGAGTGACGTCAGTACTGCAGTATCGTTTTCGCGGGACGATCCTGACTGTCTCCTAATATAATATTTGCTTCAAATAAATTATGTGTTATTTATGGTGTAGTCTGCTCTATATGGAATCCTTCAAGAACCAAAAACGAAACATACGCGAGCTGCTCATCTAAAATTCGACGCGATTTAAAAGCAATCCTCCTCTTTCAAGTAATAACATACAAGAAGTTGAGTAACGTTCTTATTGGATCAACATAAATCAGCGGACAGTTTTTGTGCAAAGAGCAAAGGTATATTTACTAAAGCTGCCTGTTGGAACGGTGAACTGTATCCCAGTTCGCATTGTACCGTGGCCACCAGATGCTGCCGATTCTGGTGCTACAAACTAGTAATACGCCTTTCGTTCGACCGACCATAGACAGCCAACATGGACAGCTGTTGCAGCAAGCTTGATGTTTCCTTTCTCGCAACGGTCGATTCTGGTAACAGATGGTGCTGTCTTATTTTGATAAACCTTATCCTCTAGATAGGGGATAGTTGCTCAGACTTCGTTTTTTTTTAGCTGAGACCAAGCCTAGACCATGTTGAGGAATTGCCAAAACAGCTGTCCATGGCTGACCGTCTGTGGTGGGACGAACGAAAGCTATATTACTAGTTTGTTCGATTGTGAGTAGACCGTATCTACTATAGCACCAGAATCGGCGGGGTCTCACGGCCAAACAGGTAATCCGGCTGACAATACGAACTGGGATTCGGTACCAACAGACACTCTCGCAGTGGTCGATTCTGGTAGTAGATGGTGTGTCTTATTTCGATTAAAAAGTATACTTAGTGAGTTTCGATTAAATGAGCCTTTTTTGAGAACAACGGTCATGTATCGTCACTATTCCTATCAATTTATACTACCGACGATTCCCGTCAAGCTTGATAAAAATATAAAACTCCATTATGTGAATTTACTTCCAAAGGTTTTTCAGGTTCAGTAATCTGCTTTTCAATTCACCACATTTTCAAAATGGCAGAGCTAAAAATGTCATCATTGAGCCATCCTGTGGTTTTCATGTTAATAGAACTTGTCTATCAACTGAAACCTCATTCGTCGAATTTAGTCTTACTGTAATTAGTAATTTCTTTATATGTCCGAGTTATCCATCCCATAGTGCTTAATAAATCCACTTTTGAAAACTTCTCACCACGGATTTATCGAAAACCACTGATTCAAAGGAAAAACGCTTAGAGACACGTCAAAAGATTTGTCAAGTGGGACAACTTTTCAACCAAAAACTACTTCATTCCCTTTCACCCTCGACCCTCCGAGTCATATCCTTAAAAATTTTAGATGACAAGGAGTATCGAATAATAGCTTGTTGAACGGTTTTTTTCGTTTTTCGTTTATTTCGACATTCGATTTTTTAAAATCAGTCGATTCGTTTTCGAGAAAGTTAGAAAAATCTTTATCTTGATTTGTTCAGATAGAAAACAAAAACACACGAAAATGTCACTTTTTAAAGCAGCAATTCGGAAGATTAGACCTGGTAACCACCAAATAACAACCCGAATTTTTTCCGCATTCTTTTCATCAACACAGATATCCTGGGCGAACTGTATTTATTGTTATACCTGTTTAGTTATTTGGTGCTAAGGGAAAGAAAGAATTTAATTTGCTGTCGATTACCTTTGTGACAATCTTGAGATAGTGAAATTTAATGTATGATTTTACATCCAAAATGGTTTACACACTAGCCGAAAGAGTGGAAATGATTCTAATTTATGTGCTCGGCAAAGGGCCGTCACGTTTAACGCCTGATATCCGGAGAAGATAACTTTGCATAGGTATGTTTTGGACCTTGTAACTTTTACTCATCCATTCAAAATGAAAATATTGCAAGACTTAACCGAAGATGATTTCGATAGGCGAGTTGAGTTTTGTGAACAAATGCCTGCAACGATTAATGATAATACCATTCATGTAAAGGAAATCTCCTTCGGTGGTGAATTCACATTTTACCTAAATGGATTTGTTAAGCATAACTGCAAGTATTGGATCAATGAAAATCCTCATGCTTTTGTAGAAGGGCAAACCCAGTACCCACAAAAAATTAATCCATGGGCAGGCATTCTAGGAGACAAAGTGATTGGGCCATTGTTTTTTAATGGAAGTTTGAATGGAGACATTTATTGGGATATATTGGAAAATACCATCAATCCACCATTGAAAACCAAATCCAAGAGGGTGGAAACCTTATACTTTTCCAAATAAATGTATAGGGCGAAGAGGGCCTATAGAATGGCCTGCTAGATCTCCCGATTTGACGCCATTATTGTGTTTACTTCCCAACCTGAAAGTCTGGATGAATTTCGTCAACGCATCGTCGAAAGATGCCATGGTATCCCACAACATGTTTTTGAAAATGTCTGTCAGGGATTTGAACATCGCCTATATCATGGTTTGGCCAATAACGGGCAACATTTTGAACATTTATTGGAATAAAAGGTGATATTTTCGTGTGTTTTTGTTTACTATCTGAATAAATTAAGATAAGTACAGATTTTTTAATTCTCTTGAAAACGGATCGACCGAAAGATCAAAATAAGGTGCTTCGAAATACCTTTCAAACAAGCTGTTACGCGATACCCCTTGTCATTTAAAATTGTTAAGGGGGTGACATAGTTTTTGGTTATAAAGTTAACAAATCTGTTTACGTGTCTCGGCGTTTTTTCTTCCGATCAGTGGTTTCCGTTCAATCCGTGGATACATTTGGCCAGAGAAACATGGAATTCAAATTATATATTGTCGCTCAAAAGTTATTTAAGAAAAATCCATTCCCTTGTTCTTAGAGCAACTTGTGGCATTAATTTCGTGTACCTTCTATGCATGCGAGGGGTGTTGCCGTATTCTGGAACACCCTATTAAAAGCATCAACTAATTTTTATATAAAGCATGTAGTATCCACATGACTGCAAGTTTTCCTTGTAATATCATTTACGTGTGTATTCCGACATTCTTGCATATGTTTTCTCCGTATATGCCTCAATTCCGTGATGCGTTGTATTCCATTCATCTCATCCTGTCTATAGAAATACGCGTTACTAAATGATATACACTCCTTCAATTCAAAATGACTAGAATACATTCAATCTCGAAATGAAACCAAGGTATCCACTTTCGCGTCATTCTGAATATGTGTCTTTGATGTTGCACTCCGTTCGGTTAAATTCGAAACTATTTACACGGATCTTTTTGTGAATGGAGTGCATTGTGCGGGCTCTTTGAAGATCATCTCTTTGTCAGGACAGACTAGCGTTTGTTTGCTTTTCCTTTTGATAACTACATTTGAAAAGAAGCGTTGCAACGCCATGGATGTATGGGCTGTTTTAATACTCACTCAGACATAATAGATATCCTTAACCACATCAACCGCATTTGATAACATTCTTTGCTTTTCGGCGTAATGATTTTAGCTCAAAGCATCCCCTATGCAGTCTATAGCTTTTAGATATACAAGATGTATATGCTAAGTGACAGAAAAAAACAACACCTAGTAATAATGAATTTTTCTCTGTATACATATATTTGTTTAGGCTACGACAAAAAATGATCATATTTTCAACCATATCGATAAAGCTTTTTTGTGATATCGTCTGTTCTTGCAAAGAATGTAAGTGAGCGACAGTTGT